GTGTGTGTGTGTGTGAAGCAGTGGCTGGGGGGGGGGCAGACAGACAAGAAGGATGTGAGATAGAGGAGGGCGGGGCTGTAAACGGAGGTGAGAGGGGAAAATGAGCAGCAACACTGATGCAAGCCTCTCTTGTCTCCTAGCAACAGTCTCCGAGCCCTCCTGTGGGCTCATTAAACTGAGACGAAAACAATGAGCATCAGGAGGAGGAAACACCTGATCTGTGTTGCAAATTAAAGAAGGTTTAAGTTGTATGAAGTATACCTTTTTTAACGTTGTTTTATTTAATTTTATTTTAAATCCACTGCCCCGTTCCTCCTGGAACAACGTACAGACGGACCTGAAACTGTCAGAGGTGATTTATTTTTAGTAAATGTTAAAGGATGTTCGCTACATTTATTGTTTTCACTTGATTTCCTATGTCACATCTGTTAATGTATCTTATCTGGATATTGTCCGCAGTCTTTTGTAGCAAGTGACGGTGTTCTTAGCCTGTTTGTTTTTATTATTATTACAATGTTTTTGTGCTACCCTCTTGGTAACACTAATAACACTGGTAATAACACTGGTAATAACACTTTTACCTGGTTAAATATAGTTTTAACATTTTAAATAATGTTTATTTCTCATATTTAAACTTATTTAATCCCTCACGTTCATTTTCATACATTATCTAATACAATTAATCTGTATAATTCAATTAGCAGTTTATGAATATCATAACCAAAAACACACAAATTACAAATTTTCTTTTTGACTTGTTTTCATTTTTAATTATATTTCTTATTTCTTCTTTTTCTGTGTTTATTTTTATCATTAACAGGAAGGCAAATCAACCTGATTCTGTACGATTCTGATCATTTAAAGGAGCACTTTAATATTGTATTTACATTCAGTTGAAGGGGAAAGATTTGTGATTAAATGGTTGAAATCGGAGCAGCAGAGGACGAGACATTCTTGACTTTAGTCTCAAGCCACAAAAACTGGATCCTGCATCCCACAATGCAACTCAATCTAACTGCCTGGTTAAACCCTCAAACCTCAACCTCAAAGACCGTAGTCTCTAACCTCAGACCAACATATTATCACATATATTCTGTATATATCTGCAATTTCCCCATTGTGGGACAAATAAAGGTTTTCTTATCTTGTCTTATATAGTGAGTCCCTCCTTTAAACCCAAACTGCCATCAAGCTGTCCTCGTGGATTTACAACATTACCCACAACAGCCTAATATTTAATGGATCGCTGCCACTGTATTAGCCTGATAATGACACTGGAGTGCCATTTCAGTTCACTTTATTATTCATATATTATCGCACTGAAATCACTGAAATGAATAAATGTGGGCAGCAACTCAAAGGTCTGCTACCACAAATATAAAATGGTCCAGAAAAATCTGTGATGGTGACAAATTTCTATTGTCTCACAGTAAAAACCCTCATATTGCAACAGTAACAGTAATTTCTGTCCTATAATATAATGATTACTTGTTCTAATGAAGGGAACGCAAACTAGGTTAAAACCACCAGTATCAGAATTAAGTCTCAAACAAAACGGTAGGCTTGAGCTTAGGAGGTAAGACTGATTGTAGTAAAGGGAGTTTTTAGTGATTTAATAGGTCAATTCCTTCTTTAACAGCCAAGAACCATTTGAGTAGCTATCGTAATATCTTTCTCAGCACCACTAATCTCTTTCTCTGCACCAGCAGCTCAGCAGGAAGAGAAAAGGGGTGTAAGAGGATTAATTCAGTTGGGATACTCTGATTAGCTGCGAGCTTTAAACCTGAAATACGTTGTGGGGTTGAGAAATGGCAGAGGTAATTTGAGACTGATGACCGAGGCTGTGTAGTGCTTCTTTGTAAGATTATATGATAGCGAGTATTAAGGAATTGATTATATAAGAAAATAGATTATTACGCGACAGACAGGAGCAGGACTTGAGCAGTCTGAGCTGCTGAAGCAGAAAGAAAAACAGTTTATGTGTATCCATTACAGAGCAGCGGAGGGAAATCTGTCCTGTTGAAATATTAAACATCTTTCTCTGTAATCCCCTCACTTTCTCTCCATCACACTGCTAAGTGCTGCTCTGAGAGGGCATCCACCGCTGGAGTGATGGGAGTGAGACAGACAGACAGAGAGGATGATGGGATGGGTGGTGGATGTATCATGTTCCTGCTTTCCCAGCACACAGTGGGAGAGAGAGAGAGAGGATATCTGCCTCTGGGGTCACTGCTCTGCAGCCTCCAGCAGGACAAAGAGGGGATAAAATTACTGCCCAGGAAGCATTAACACAGCAGAACTCAACACGCTCGGCTTGTACTGCAAAACGGCGACTGCTTTTATTACGTACTCGAGGAAACTTGAGAAAGAGTGAAGAAGTTTATCTCTTAGGAGAGCAATAGTGGATTCTTTTAAAGTTATATTACTTGATATATGAACATGATTTCTACTGGGGACGAGGAGGACATGTACCTCCTCACACAAGCATGCGTCATCATATTTATAGCTAAATTAATACATTGGGAAGCAAAAAGTAAAATATACACTGTTTACACAAAATTAGAGCAATTTACCAGCCAGAAAACAACAATGGTACTCCACTAAGTGGCTGGTAAAATGTAAATA